CAATTCTGGATATGCTGAAAATGTGAAAAATATATACTTTAAAATTGATCAACTATAGTAACTAATTACAATTAAAACATGTAATTCCAAACACCTTAGGAATTGGGCTTTGAAATTGTAAATATTAAAACTCAAAATCTTTATCACTAAGTTGTGGCTGGTGGGTTATGTACCTATTCTTTGAGAAACATTGATTGATGAATGGGATCTTTCAAGGACTTGAAGTTTGAAGAAAGTCTTCATGTTTCAACTGTTAAACGTTAATTCAACATTTGAAGTCTTTGTGTTCGGTTGAAGCACGTAGGATGAGCCTGGCCTGTAAATCCCTCTGCAAACGAAGCTTCACTCTGCCACTGTCACTCACCTTGTTCATTAATCCTCAGAGATGCTGCACTGTACATGGAATAATAACCCTTAGCCAAGTAGTTAAACCTGGCAGGAAGCGAAGAAATACCTATTTAATAGAAAGGTTCACTGGATTATAGCAACCTTTTCGCTGGAAAATGCTGAAACATTTAAAAAACGATATAATAGATACAATTCCAGATATTACACCTTGGTTGTTACCCTTCTACCTGACAAGCATAAGATAACAATATGTGGCCAGCTGGCTCACTTCATACAGTTTTATTAAAGACATAGTAGGCTTAAAAGATTGAGTTAGTTTTTGATGGGTAATTTATGCATTTCTATTGAGACTTTTTACAGAAATAGGCAATATCATGGAATTTAAAATATCCATGATAATGAGAGAAGGGAATGACAGATGCCTAGAACAGTGCCTCTCATTTAATAGGTTCTCAAGAAATATTTGTGAGTTGAAGGAAGAACTTTAATGCTTCACAAGTTTTAGGTTCTAATGGAGAGGACTGAGGTTCAGTAGCCTTAGTCCTATTTGTGACCTCATTACCACTCTGTGATCTTGGCAATTTAAGTAAACTGTTTGTGTCTCAGATTCATCCTTGTTTTAAGTGGCCTCAATGACATTTGGACTACCTGCTTTATAAGGTTAAGGTTACTGTAGAGGGGTGGTAGGTTAAATAATGTCTGTGCAAGGATTCTGAAAAGTCCAAAAAATGAAACACCTATAAAAAGGTACTATTAGTCACAAAGAATTGAAAAGGTGGACTCATTTCTGCCCTGTGATAGACTCAGAGGACAGAGTTAGGTCCAAATTTTGGCCAGTGTCTCAAAAAGATTTCCTATGTGGTGATCAGTAATAAAATTATAGTCTATATATATCAAGGAAATCTTGGACAAGGGTTAAGAAAAGAGTTTCTCCCATTTTTTAGACAGATGTGGCATTACCCTATATAGAATTTGGTTGGAGCACTTAAAAACTATGCAAATTGGGCCTCCCCTGGTGGCACAGGCGGTTGAGCTCAGTGCTGTGAAGCTGTCCCCAGCCTCTGCAGCGCCGGTTTGATCCTGGCAGGCCAGGGAGATTCCCACACGGCGAGGCAGACCTCTCCTGTCTTTCCCGCTGCTCCCCTCAGCAGTGTATTGCAGTCAGTCTGCCTGGTCTGTTCCCTGCTCTGTCTCTGGTGAATCCTCTCACCCTCGTGTGCATCTGGCCTGTACCCTGGTTCTTGTATGCATGAATAAATAAATCTTAAAAAAAAAACAAACTATGCAAATTGTGTCAGCCAACAAGATTTCTCAATCTTGATACACCATGACAAGGCACCAGAAATTGGGTTCTAAGTGGAAGTCAGTCCCAGTGGAGTCCGAGAATGGGCCTCACAAGGTCTGTGAGTTTCTCAAAATTCCCTGCTAGAACAATACCGTTCTAGAGGGAGAGGGCATAGTTTTTCAAGGTGACCTGGACATCCCATTGTTAAGAGCAGAAATTTAGTAGACTCAAGCAAGCATATGAAGGTAACAGAATTTGATTCAGAAGTTGAGATCCTTTCCTTTGCATCCTTTTTAATGTTTGTTTACATGATTCTCTTTTTCGTCTTCATTTTTCACCCATGTGTATCAAGATTACAGTGAAGGCAATCAGGGCCTCTTAGATCAGTTGGTAGAGGGCAAAGTGAATGACAGTCATGAATAAATATTAAATACAGTCATTAGTGTTGTTCTGATCAAAGTATCTTCAGGGAAGGAAAAGAAAAAGCAACACATTTCCTTTTTTGCTTTTTTTAAGGACATGGGGAAAAGGACCTAAATATGTTTTTGTGTGTTGATGCATATTTATAGAGGTGGCTGGAGGACAAGACAATGAAATAAATATGGAATTGGGGATGGAGTATGAGTGGAAAGGCAATACATTAACAGAAGATGCAAGTTGCAAAGGGTAACTACACGTGAATCTGACAAACATCTTCAACCGTCCGCCTTTAGTGACTCTTAACGCATAACTAGTTTCCTGTGCAGTTACAGAGAACGTGGTGAATCAATGTTTAAAATACTCGTGCACACTGGAAACAAAAAAGAGTCTTAGTTAAGGATGAGGAAAATTGAATGTCAGGTCTTTCAACGTTAAAAAAGAGGCCGAACAATTATTTTGAAGTTCTTGTTGACTCGACCAAAAGCTACCTTCAGAAAAAAGGTTTTCTGTATTTCCTAATGTTCTAATTAACTTGAACATTGCTAACTTGTCTGGGGTCGGGGGGGGTGGGCGGTGGTCTATGCATAGCTGAAGCAAACTTAAAGTTTGTCCTAGTTTTGTCCTGCTGAACTATATGAAACTTGGTTTGCCATGTATCTGGGGAAGTCACCTGGTTTTTGGCTGCAGTAAATTTGTATTCTTTGCTTGGTGGGTACTACTGGCATTTTTGGCAAAGGAACTCACGAACTGGCTGAAATGTAAAACACTACATAATTGAAGGGGAATGAAAACACCAAGATCCAGTGTCTCTGACATTACGGATGAAATCTTCCCCTAAGGCACGGGGAGATGATCCACAGATTGTTACATGAGAATAAGGTTTTTGAAAACTCAGATAATGGTGAGAAAAGAATAATTTTAGAAACTGATTTTAGAGTGTACTGGAACATGTTGATGACTGCTTTTAGAGACAGCTTTGAATATAAATTTGAAACCTTTAAAATAAAATTGATAGGGCCTCCCTGGTGGTTGAAGGGGTTAAGTCACAGCACTATGAAGCTATCCGCAGCCACTGCAGCAGGAGTTTGATCCCCGGCCAGGGAGCTGACCCACAAGGTGCAGCAGACCTCTCCTATCTCGCCTGCTGTTCCCCTCAGCAGTTTATTTCAGTTGATCTGCCTGTTTTGTTCCCTATTCTGTTTCTGGTAAATCCTCTCACCCCCCCGCACCTCTGGTGTGTACCCCAGTCCTTGTATGCATAAATAAGCAAATCTTAAAAAAATAAAATTAATATAATATTTATATAAAGGTTGCTTAAAAACAATCTATATGATTTTAGATGTGACAGAACAGGTTATAAAAAATTTGTGTAAGAAGTGTCAAGGTCAAATTACAAAAGAAAGATAGAAAAAAGGGAATTCCTTGACAGCTTCTTGCTCAGATAACTATTCTGTAAATCTGAAAATGAATAAACACTTTTTGACTTATTAATGTCCTAAAAATGCACAAAATACAATCAATTAAAAGCTACATGCAATATCTTGGTCACTTTTACTGTAACTACTGAATAATGCTTCTTAGCACACATTCAATTAATGTGGAACATGAGACTTTAGCTAAATAGTAGGTTGCAGTGTAGCTGAGATTGTGGGGAAAGAACAGATAGTGAAGAGAAAGCTTTACTAGAATGACAGTAACATTTCAATATGTACTCACATGCCTATGACCTTCACAGATAATTAAGAAGTCATTTAAAAAATGAATAGTCTTGGTGAGTGGTTTTGGCTTACATCTCAGAAAATAAGAAGTTAGAAAAATCACAGAATAAGCAGAATATATGCCTCATTTCTGCCCTGGGGGGGCTGTTCCAGAAGGACAGCTTAGCTTGAGCTAAAGAAAATCCTGTCCACTGTTGAGGGCTCTACTAGCTTATATCTTGCTATCTTAATAGAAACATGCTAGAAAAATGATCTTTTAAATGGTCATCTTTGCATCTCAACTTGTTTCTTCTTCATTTCTCTTCTGATGACAGCTATCTACTTTCCTTATATAATAAAAGATGTCAAGGAATTCCCCAGATGGAATCTTGAGGTTCAAAGGGGAAAATGGAAGGATCCAGTTTTAACAATGGCATATTTCTCTATCCTTTAAATAAAATCAGTGAATCACTTGCCTTTGTTTTTAATAAAAAAAGGGGCTCTCCTAGTATCCACAAATAACTTCACTCACACCTAGGTAATGGGGCCTTATGACTATTACATTGGGGTCACACGAGACCTCAACAGGCCTAACACTTTAGGTCTGAGCTCAGTGATGGACACTGCTGACATACTTGGGAATATGAGAGCAATTAAAGGGGCACAAGGAAAAGTCCTGTTCTGTGAAGTGAGTTAAAGGAATCCTCACTTTTACCAACGAATTCTCCAGAATGTGTGCTTCAATCCTAGAGTGAAGTTGCTGACTCTTATCCTAAAATGTCTGGGCTTTAGGATTTTCAGTACTTCTGGTTGTTCCTCTGAATTCTACATCCCTTTTACTCTTTCGCTTTCTTTCTTTTTTTTTTTTTTTAAATATCCCTTCTTTTTTCCTATCTTCCCAATTTTGACTGCCTAAAGAATAGACATTATATCTGCCTACTGAGACCAGCTGTACAAAATAACATAAAATCATTTAATCTCCACCATATTGGGATTTCATGAAACTTTCCTTAATTGTCAGTGTGGTGTTGTCGGTCATATTTTGCCTCTGGAGGTTTTTTTAAAGAGCAGCCATGTTTACTGTTGTGAAATACGATCTGTCTCCTCCTCTCCCCACCCTCCAGAACAGTGATAAATTTCAGAGCACGCTCAGCAGAATTGGATTGTATTATGCACAGTACACATGTTCATCACCAAAACTGTACTCGCTGCAATGCATGCAAGTAGAATGAATTGCTGAGACTTCAGAATCCCAGTTCCTCAGAACTGATTTTATTAGCCAATGTATACCAAAGATGGGTGGTAAAAGGAGTATTATTTTTACAGTTTCTTTCATCATTGAAGCCCTCTGCTGTTACAGACTGTGGTTTTCTGGCCTTTTGATTAAGTCTTGCCAGTCGTGTGCTTCTGCAACACCAGCGCCACTGCCTTGCAGCCTGTCACCTCCTCCGGCAGGCAGCCGTCCTGGTCTCGGAGAGCGGGGTCTGCACCGGACTGGAGCAGCAGCTCTACAATGTCCAAGAACTCACAAGCAGCAGCTGATGGGAAAATGGACAAATATGGAAACGAGGTTACCAGGAGACAAAGAAACTACCCTGTCTGCAGAAACTACCCTGTCTGCAGGAAAGGGAGTGCTGAGCAGTAAGGGATCCTGAACAATGAGACTGGCCTAGCAGCTGCAGGGTATCAGCCTCACAACTGAACTGTGCAGTGCAGTGGGAGGCCAGTGTTAGGAAATCAAACTGTGGGTTGTCTGGAAGCAAACACATACGTTTTTAAAATTGTAAGGCTCCTGGATTCTATTCTTAAGGATGGGATAGAACAAAATAAGGGAAAGAACAAAAACAAGCATTTTAGTATCTATTTTACCTTGATTTATTTTTATCAGAACGGGTTAGTAGATAAGGTGTCAAAAGGCTAAATATAGTGTAAATGTAAAAAAAAAAAAGATTTTGTTTTTTTCTTTAAAGAGAGGGTAAGTAATTAAAACTTGTAAGTGAAATAAAAATTGTAGCTAAGTGATCAGACCATCCCTCACTGGACCTTTTAAAAAGAAGGAATGGCATTGGTGGGGATCCCTGAAGAGTCCACGGCATAGGAAGGGGAAAAGACCTACAGATACCAAGACTTCTTGTGAAGATAGCGAGGTATTGACCCCGCAGCATGGACAGTGGACCAAAGGGCTAAAACAAGGAGTCCTCTATTCTTTTGCACCTATGTAGAAACTTGATTTATGACAATGCTGGCATCACAGATCAATCCATTAATTAAATGGTGCTGAGACAACTGGACTAAAGGCAAAATAGGCATTTTGCATAAGATGAAACATTGATGCCAACAAACAAGAAAAGATGAGTAGCCACATTCGTAATTAGGGAAATTAAAATTAAAGAATGAGATATCATTTTATTCCCACTAGATAGGTGAAAATTAAAAACTTGGACAGTACCAAGCACTGAGGAGGCCTGGAGAAGGAAAACTCCCTGCTGGGTACAGTCACTTTGGACAACAATTTGATATTATCTCTTAAACATAGGCACAACCACTGACCCAGCAATTTCTCCACAGTTACATGGTCTATAGGAATTTTTGCATATGCATATGTTCTCCAAGAGGTATTTATATGCAAGGATATATACAGCAGCATTGTTTGTAAGTGACCCCAAATGTAAATAGTTCAAATGCCCATAATAAAATATGAATTTTGTTTTAAAAAAAACATGCAAAATAAAGTATTATTTACTTATACAATGAAATTCCATACAACAGTGAAAACAAATGAACTATAACTTCATACTACATGAGTTTATCACCAAAACATAATGTCAAAGGAATAAAAGCAAGTCAGAAGAATACATTTAAATACAATTTAAATAAAATTAAAAAATAAACGGAACTTAACAACATGGTTTAGAGATAAAAATATATAGTGGGGCGGTAGGGAAGGTCATAAGCTTAGACTGGCACAAATGGGGCTTTAAAGACATTGGCAAGGTTCGTCCAACAGCATTTTATTGAGTACACACCAGTGCTATCAAGGTTAAAGGGAGGATTCCTGTCCTGGGAATGGGATCGTGAAATAGTTGTAAGACTAATATGTAAATCGGCAGTTCTAACACAAGGAATAAGCACTGTGGCAGGCACACACACACACACACACACACACACACAGAGGCTGGAGGGGAGGAGGAAGCAGAGGAATCAGGGGAAACACTACAAGTAGGGGCTGTAGTTGAGCTATGAAACACACAGTACAATTCCAGGGAAGCCGAGAAGGAAAGACTCCAGGGAGTGAGAAAAAAACGATTAACAAAGGCCCTGAAGCACAGGGAATGTGGAGACAACTGCCTGCTGGGCAGAGATGCAATCCAGTCAAAAGCAGAGAGGCAGCTTGGGGTCAATATAAGGGGGTTGTAATTATATGGGGAATAAAAAAATAAAATTAAAAAAAAAAGCAGAGAGGCAGGATTTAAGTTAAGCTATACAAAGGCTTGAATGCCTAAGAACTTTGGCATTGATGAGGAAGACAGTGGCATGATTTGGAAGCTATGTTAGGATGATAATTCTATAAAGAGTGACTTGGAGAACCTAGAAATTTTTGGCAGTTAGACCAATTAGTACTTTTGGGGGTTGACATTAGTCAGTGTCAGCAGGAATTTAAAGAAGAGCTTGAATAAAAGAGCCACTGAAATTCAAGTAGTAAGGAACCAGCTGTATTTTTTCTTAATGTTTGTGAATATAAATTTAATACTTAATGAAGTTAATATGCTATATTTGTAGACACATAAACATCTCAAGATATTTTGAAATTCTCTTTCTGGAACAAAAATTATTTTATTTCATAAGGAAAATTACTGATAAATTCAAAACAGCTATAATACACGCAATACACAAACTGTATGCCAAGATAATGGGAAGTAGTCTCATACTTAAGAAAAACAATACAAGCTTTAAAAAGTCAATAACAGAAAGATTAAAAAAAGACAAAAGAATTAAAAGAATAAAAAACACCATTCATGTTCTCACTCTGGGAGAGTACATGGATGTTAGTAACATCTCTAAAATAAGAAATCAGGGCCTCCCTGGTGGAGCAGGGGTTAAAGTCTCAGCACTATCAAGCTACTGTCAGACACTACATCATGAGTTCGATCCCCGGCCAGGGAGATAACCCACATGGCACAGCAGACCTCTCCTGTCTTGCCTGCTGCTCCCCTCAGCAGTGTGTTTCAGTCGATCTACATGTTCTGTTCCCTACTCTGTCTCTGGTGAATCCTCTCACCCCCTGCACCTCTGACCTACACCCCAGTTCTTGCATGCATAAATAAATCTTAAAAAAAAAATAAAATAAGGAAACAGAAAATGGAAGAGCAGTAGGTTTTGGAGGGGAACAGAAGCAGAAAGTTATGGAGGGGGGAAAATAATCTTGGTTTAGAACATGATCAATATGTGGCGCTAAGGGATATTTACATTGATGAGTTTAACAGAGTGGTAAAATTTGTATCTGAAATAAAAAGCCATACACATTGTTATCTCTGTTTTTATTATACTATGTGACTTTCTGGAGACATTGTGTGATCAGAATTTTTATCAATTTCTCTGGATATGCTGTTAAATATATTTATATTACATGACCACCTTGGCCAAAGAACTACCTTTCTAAGAAAGTTACCATTATCATGCTGAGAAATATGTTTCGAGGGCCTCCCCGGTGGCGCAGCGGTTGAGCGCTGGGCTGCAAACCTGCCCGCAGCCTCTATAGCGCCGGTTCTATCCCTGGCTGCCGGCGAGGGTCCCACATGGCGCACAGACCTCTCCTGTCTTGCCTGCTGCTCCCCTAAGCAGTGTACTTTGGTCCTTCTGCCTGTTCTGCTCCCTGCTCTTGCTCTGGTGAATTCTTTCACCCTCCCGCGCTTCTGCTGTACCCAGTGCTTGTATAAATAAATAAATAAAATCTTTTTTTTTTTTAAAGCAATTCAATAAAGTTTAAAAAAAAAGAAATATGTTTCGAAAGAAACATACTGAAAATTCCTAACAGTCTGGGGTCGAGTCCAGGTAGGTGCCATCTCAGCAACTTCTTACAACCCTACCAATAACACTGTGGGTAGAAACCATCTTGGAATCTACCTTCCAGACTATCAGACCCTGAGGAAGAACCATTGATGCGAGCCTCCCCCACCTTCACCCACCCTCCAGGAAACAGGCAAGCTACCCGGAGCCCCAGAGACAACAAGCACGAGGATAGACCCTGGCAACAGTCCAGGTGCCTGCTACCTATCAGCTGCCTGCTAGCAAGCATGCTACATTCCTATAGCCAGCAAGCATCCAGGAACCCCCAAATTGTAGAAAGCTAGCAAGTGGACCCCTTCCAGCTGCCCAAAGACTGCCAGGCACTGCTCCTACCAGCCAAGGTGCTCCATTCCCTGCAAGGCCACAGTCCACAAGCACCTCAGCACAGAGATGGCACCTCGCTGGTATGCACCTTAGTGCAGCAGTAGCCCCTGCCCATGTATCTGCAAGGCCCACTGTACTCAAAAGGCTACCATGCCTGTGAGGCCCTTGTCAAGGTCCCACAAGCACCTGCAGCAAGGACCCAGTTGAATGCCTTCAGTCACACTCACAAGGCCCACTGCACACACCAAGCTTACTTTTCAGTCTGAGCCATGCCAACAAGGCCCCAGCCACCAGGCCTCATATGGGTGTGTACTGCAGCTACCACAGCAACAACCCAGTTACACCTCCTGCAGCCTACCTAGTAGGTTGACAGCCATGCCTCCAGTGGTTAACAGCTCTCCTTGACACTGTGGGCTGCTGCTGACATTATACACTTCTGCTGGTGTAGTGAACACCAGTGAAATGCAGTAGGCAGCCTTGATATATTTGTGCACACCCTGCAGCAACTCCAAGCAGCACATACAAAGGATGGATCCACAACACACCCATGGAGCTTTTGGTCCAGGGCCAAAGCCAAACTTAACTCATGTGCCACTGCATGGACAGATTGACACCCCTAAACACAGGAATGGCCTGACACAGGAGGCAGGTGGGTACAGCCCACAAAGGGATACACCCTGATTAACTACCTTACTGGGGAGTCAGGAGACAGTGCTCTAGGATGCCATATGACATCGTCTGCGTAAGACCAAACCCTCAGTACTACAACAGGTAGTAGTGTGCCTGTATCATAGAAGTAACAGTGAACCACGCAAAATGGGGAACATGCCCCAAATGAAGATGTACAACAAAACTATGGTAAAGACCCTCAAGAAATGGAGATAAGCAAACTACCTGAGGAAGAATTCAAAGTAATGGTGATAAAGATGATCACCAATCTTGGGAAAAGATGGAAGAACTAGAAAAATTAACGAATATCTAGACTAAAGTCATATAGCTGAGGGGTATGATAACAGAAAAATATACAACAGAGGGCTCCAAGGAATCAAAAGAGACACACATCAAGAGACATTTTATATAATTAAAATGGAAAAATTAATTGGAAGTTCTGACCAGAGCAAGAGGGCAAGAAAAAAATAAATAAAAG